GTTTGGGGGGCCAGTGTAGGACGCTTCTGGCATCCTTTTGCCAAGAAGGCTGATATCGGAGTGGAACTCTGCAGCCCTCAGCTTCAGGTTGGGCAGCAGCGTGGTTGAGAAGGCGCTGCTCAGCAAGTAACCCTGCCAAACGCTTGCCTAGAATACACTGGCCACTACCTGATTATTGGTGGATCCCTGCTTTGGCAGCAGAACCTTCCAAGCTTATCACGGAACCACGATTGTGGTGTTCACATGGCAGTTTCTGTTAGGCATCCCATGCCAGCTGGTAGAGTCGCCATGGAAACCAGGATGTTTAACCCAGGCATCCTGGCTGCCAAGGTGAAGATGACTCTAGCAAGCAGTCTGAGGTGGGAGAGCTAGGAGAGGAAGAGGAATTCCCTGAAAAAAACAGTCACCTCACTCTGCAGATCCTCCAAGATCTAGTGCCTTTAAAATTTCCTTTTCTTACTTCCATGAGGGTGTGGATCAGGGCAGGTCAGCTGGCCATTTAGGACATTACTCCTGAGAGTTTCCTTAAGATATTTTTCCCTGTAGTTTCTAAGATGCTTAAATGAGCCCAGAGTAGCTGAAGTGGTGACCTAAGCCGTGGTAGCTGACTTAACATTCTGCAAGCAGCCGTATGCTCCCCCTGGAGCCAAGTTGTTTTAACTTTGCACTAACAACAGCAATGAAAACACCAAAGCTCACTCACAGATACTAAAACATCCATGATTTGTTGTTGTTGTTGTTGTTGTTACATTTAGAGCCAGAAAAGTGGCTACCAGATGGGCACACAGGGTTGCCCCACAACTGAGAGCTGCCAAGAGCTCCTCCCAGCTTTCACGGCATGTCTACCAGTCAGAATCACTGAAAGGCTAGTCCTAATTCATTTGAGGTCACATGTGATAGGATTTGATTGAGTCTTCACTCCAGTAGAGACTGTATTGCCCAAATATATTCATCAGTTTTTTGTTACTGTAACCTGATACCTGAGTCCGGGGATCTTGTAAAGAAGAGATTTTCTATTTAGCTCACAGCTCTGGAGGCCCAAAGGCATGGTGCCAGCTTCAGCTTAGCTCTAATGAGGGTTTCAGGTCAGATGCCACCTCAGTGCCAAGAGCAAACGATCCAGTGGCTGGACAGGAAACCAGAAAGTCTACAGAGTGATCAACCTTGTTGTTTAACAACAGCCCCCTCAGAAAGACTCGGGGGACCCTGCTAATCCCTTCCCAGGACTCATATGTCCCCAGCCCCATGTCTAAAGCCCTCTTCTGAGGCCCTAGGACTTAAAGGCCCCACCGCCTCAACATTGCCACTATGAGGCCAAGTCCACAGACACATGAGCCCCTGGGTTTCCAACAGCACATCCAAACATAGGGCCCAGCATGTTGGATTCTTCCAGGCTGCAACAGCCATTGTGGTAAGGGCGTGAACCATACGGGAATAGGGGCTTGGCTTCCCAGCATGACAGGGCTGGAGCTGTGTCCCAGAACACAAACTCATGCCTGTTAGTTACCCAGGGAGAGGAATGTCTATGGCCTCTCAGGGAACTTTCCAAAGTGTGAGTTTCCAAACCAACGAAATGTTCGTTTGCCCAAGGTCCAGGTAGTCCCACTTGTATTTTTCAGTTGAGAAGCTGGGAGTAGCTGTAGCACCTGCCTCAGTCTGTCTGACTCAGGAAGGGAGCTGGAAATGTGGAGACACTGTCCCCAGGCAAAGCCAGTGCTTCCTGGGCCCTGTTGAAAAGGTCTGTCCTGAGAGGAGCAAGACCTTTGGTTGATGGTACAAGCCACGACCTTTCCACTTGGAAGTCATTTCTCAAGGAACTTGGCAGAGTTTTGGCCTTGTGCATGCAACAGGAGAGGTCAAGGGCCTCACAGCTTTGTTGGAGGCATGCTGCCTCTGGTGGTTAATGACTCCTCCACAGTAGGCCTTGCTGTCTTAGCCCAGTGTTGCTGAGTGTGCTACTGCTTCCTGTCAGGAGCAAGACTCCGGCCTACAGCCCGATAACCCCTGATCGCCATAAGCCCAACACTAGCACCTCAGAGACCCCTGTGCCAGTGGAGAAGGTAAAGGAAAGGAACACGGGGTGTCTGGAGCCTGCCGCACTCCTTTTAAGGGTGGGCCCAGCCAGGGCAGAGGCAGTGTGGAGCCCCATGGCCACTTCCCACAGTAATCCCAGGAGGTGGGAGTGGGGTGAGGAGGCACTCATAACGCAGCAGTGTTCCCTGTAAATTAAACATCAGTTACTTTCCGTGGCCGTCTGCGGTAATTGAAGGCAGGAAAAATGTCTGGGTGATTAAGTGGTGGTAGTAAACTTTCTGATCAGAGTGAGTATCCAGAGGTAGCTGGAGAGATTACCTTTATAAATAAGCACCTGTAAGCTGTGTGCGTCCTTGAGGGTGGGCAGGGTACCTAGAATGGAGGTGTTTCATTTGGTTGGGCTGAGCACAGAAAGGGACAAGCAGCACAGAGTATATTTTGCTGGGAAGTCCTGGAGTAAAGATCAAATGAATCCCTTGGGCTCAAGGAACCTACCCCATAGATGCACCCCCTTGAGATTATTCACTTACTTATTTTGGCCTCAGGGAGGTTTTTTCTTTGTCATCGAATGTTTCTCTTGCTCTCTGTATCTTTTTCCTTCCCCTCTTCTTGTCTCTCCCTCTGCACCACCCCCCCTTAGGCTTCTAGAATGTTCCTGCGTCTAGATACGGAAGAAGCAGTCTTTAAGCAGTGGACAGGAGACTGCCTTCCCCGAGGCAGATAAGAGCTGGCCTCCCTGAGCTTCTGTCTGTTTTCTCAGGGTGGGGTCTGTCCCCAGCTCTGGCCTCTTGCACCTAACTCTCCTCCTCTTCCCAATCTCTCCCTGTTTTCCCTCTCCCACTTCCAAGACATAAGGAGCTCGTTGAAAGACACATAAATCTCAATGGGTCTAAAGCTCGTGGCAATTGGAGATTAATTCTCATTCCCACAAGATCCCCTATTTTGACAGCTCCCTGAGGAAAACACAATTGACTGACTTGGCTGTTATTTTGATCTCCCCGCTGTGAGCAGCTCTGCATTGGCGTGGCTGGCAGGGACAGCTTCCAGTGTGTGAGATGGCCTCTCCTCCCAAGGACACCCCATGTCCAGCAGCACCCCGGCATGTTCCTCTTCAACCAGCTGCGCTGCCTCCCAGGGCCAGGTTCCGCCTTGTTGCGTTGCCTTTGAAGACGTGGGAGGCTGCAGCATCTGCAGTCTCGGCAACTCCTTGGGCTGAGGAGGGAGATCCCTCTCCAGCGCGTTTCAAGTCGAGCTTATTAGACGTGTTGCTGAAGGGGCTTGCACATCACGGAGCGGGCTAATTGGCTGAAGTGCACTCTGCCTCCAACCCATCTCCATTCTCCAATTAAACTCCCATCATCCTGGTGTCCTGGCGACCTGCTGCTGCCTTGGGTTTGGCGTTTCTGTTTTTGGTGTGGGTTTGGGTTGTTTATTTTTTTTTTTCTGTAGTCCTTTCAAAGGTAACTTTAATGAAACACTTTTAAATACACTATTTTCTATCTGAACTCTTTTAATTAAAACACTTTTCATGGAAGCCTCAGTCACGAGTTATTTCCCCACATCCTTCAGTCCTTAATCTCCGAGCAGAATTGGAAATATCGATAGAAAGTGTAAAATCATGCCCTCCTGCTGAAAGCGTTGTATCAGGTTTCGGCTCAAAAGAGCACCATTACCTTTAGCTGTCACGGATCTGTACACTTGATCGATAAACTTCAAATATTATTAGAGGTGGAGGCTTCAGAGATTTGCTCTGTTCTTTGGAGAGAGACAGAGATAAATCTTTCTTAAAAATTGACTTGAATTTGCACTCTCAGTCTTCCTGGTGAAATGCATTTCTCTTAGGCGTCCAGCAACTGCAAGGGGGACAGATTTATAGGCCATGTGCTTCTTGTACTGAAAGATTTAAATGGTAAATCCTTCACATATGACTTCACAAATCATGTAAAGTTAAAAGATTTTTACCGTTTCTGTTGCTGCTGTGCTTAAATTGTAAGGTACAGCTAGTAAATCATTTTAATGGAGGTGTCGTACTTGACTCAATAAAAAAAAAAAAAGACAATGGTTTAGCTTCCACTCCAAAATGTTAATGTATTAATCAACGGGAGAATAATTGTTTTTTACTACATTATAAATCTCAGGTGCCATTAGGATTTCAGCAAGGGGTGATGTAGCCACGTTCCTAAATTAAAATTGTTTACACTGCCATACATTCATTCTACATCACCATAGCTCATCCTGGGTTCATTCTGGAGTGGTTCCCCCAGCCAAATATGTCGCTCCTCAGCCGAAGAAGACATCCTGAGGGAGCGATGCTTATAAGGGGGAAATTAATTGCCCCACAAGGTGTTAAATAAATAAAATAAAAGCCATCTGTGGCAATGGACAATCATTCCTTGCTGTCTGTTTTGAAATAGGTTTTTAGGTTTTAAATCGAGGTTGACTCCCTCATACATCCTAAATGTAGCCAGCACGTCACTTGTCTTTAGCCATCTCGAGGCAGTTGGGCTCCTTTGCTCTTCCTCCTGCGTGTCCTTGTCAGGGAAGAAATCCCTGGGCATTCCTAGGGAAGTGTTCCACCCTCCCCTTGAGAGAGAGTCCCCGTGTCTGCCTAAAGGCACTATTCCCAGGACCCCTCAGAAGTGAGGTCAGCCTCCTTCCTCGAGAGGGTGAATGCCAAGGCTAGCTCAGGACCGGGTCTACGTTCCTTCCTTCCTGCCTGCCCCCTAAGCTGTTCCACGCGCATCCTGTGCTGCTTAGGATGCAGTCACCTCGTGGAGAGAACAGATCCATCCAAGCACTGGACGGGAGTGATCTGTTCCTTCCACCCCACTGGATCCATCTCAATCCTGCTCTCGGACTCCTCCATTGAACAAAGGTGACCTTGTGACCCCAGAGGCAGTGGCTGCCAGGGCTTCTGGTGTCTTGTAATAAGCTCTACATCCCTATTCCTCTTGTGATTTCAACAGATTCTCGAGCAGGTGAAGAAGGCTCGATAAGGGCGGTGGACCATGCGGTGATTGGTGGCGTCGTGGCCGTGGTGGTGTTCGCCATGCTGTGCTTGCTCATCATTCTTGGGCGCTATTTTGCCAGACATAAAGGTAAGCAAGGTGCTTTGGCAGGCAGAAGCACCGTGTCTGCACAGCCCCCTGCCCCTGTGTCCGGGGACTTTCCGAGGTGGTCCTCACTAGGCAGTTTTGGCTGGTGTGTCCACATGGCTTGGTCCCTAAGAGAGGGGAGCAGAAATCTTAACAGATGCTGATTAGGCCGCTGGGAGTGGTTGAGTGGCACTCCTTGATTTGGATTCTCTTTCAAAATAAAAGCTTTATAGAGTTGTGATTCTCTACTTCATAACAACGAGAGAGAGTAGACCTGATGCAAGTAAGGGCTGGTATGCAAAGTGTCAAGATGAACCCCAGAATGAGAGACCCGGCAACAGCATCCCCACACCTGCTGTTTTCTGGGAGGCAGGTGGACCAGGCCTGTTCCCTGAACCCACACAGTGGGTAAACCGGTCACATACAACAGCTTTGGTGGGATGTGCCCAGGTTAAAGAAAGCCTTTGCCTTACAAGCCACATAAATATGTATTTTTAAAAAATTATCAGTGCAATTGATTTAAATTGCCACTAATCATCACACTTATCAGCTGTGCAGTTTGGATGGGCAATCATCTCTTCCAGGGCTCCCCCTCTGCCCCATGCTGCTCTGAGCCTCTTCTCCCCTCTTGGTAATTTATTCTTCCTTCTCTTTGTCGGCCCTTGTCTCTCTCCGTTATTTTTCTCAAGCACTGTGCAAAGAGCTGGGGGCTTTTGTAGGAGCTTGCATTCGGCTTGATTGTAACAAGTTGGGGGATGGTCCCTTGAGCACAGCAGTGGAGGTTCAAGGTTCTGGGTGACACCTTTGGGATACAGAGTGTTCATCTTGGTGTCAGAGCTCGTTGTCCTCTGCCCAGGCTCAGGGTCGGTCACCTGGCTGAGGGGGCACTGCCTCTCTCTGGTCGTCTGTTGGAGCCCGGAAGGTGGGGAAGCCAGAGAGCACAGCAGGCAGACTTGGGCCAGGGGGCCCGTGCTCCATTTTCCAGAAGAGAAAGTACCTGGCCACCTGTTTTCTCAGCTTTGTCACCCAGAAAACCTGAAAATACAACAAGTGTAATCCATTTTTTTATATAAAAATCTTGAGGAATACAGGATGTAGTGGGAGGAGGGCTATTGGAACATGACAGATACTTTCAATTCTACCTGTATACCATACCGGGAGACAATCTTTGTCTTTCTCTGTGGGTACTGTCTGTATACTGTTGAGGTTGGGGGGTGAGAGTGTCTTCAACTTTGTAACGTTCTGTCTACTGTCATTATAAAGTGGCTGTGCCAATTAGCAAATCCATGAATCTGGGTCCAGGCTAGAGTTACCTGATGAGAGAGAATCACTTGTTCATTAAGACGGATCCCAGGCCCCACTTTCGGCTGTTTGTGCATGAAGTTATTATATTTTTTCTATCTGGAAACCATTGTGCAATGGAAGGCGTAGAGGGAAAAAAAAATATCAAACATACCTTTGCAAGTTCAAGTTCATTCTCTCCCACGGCAAGACAGTAATGATTCATGAAGCCAGGAGACTATGGTTCAAATAAATGACTTGAGATGACAAAGGCAGCAGCAGCCGCCAACAGGGCCCTAATTCATTCATTGGCTAATTGCCCTTCCTTGCTTTGGTCTCTAACCATGTTCCATGCACATACCTCATCATTGGTCTTTGGTGTTTCCTGTTTACACGTTAGTCAGCAGCTCTCCAGCTTTCTGCATTTTTTAGCTCCTACTCACGTCTTCTTCTGCTGACACTCTCTGCTCATAATCACTGCTCTAATGTCTCATTTGCTGAATTATATCGCAGCGGTTCAGTTGGAGTGGTGCCTTTGGAACCCCTGGATGCCCATTTGTCTCACCCACCTCGCTCTCTTCTTCCAATTGTTTTTTTCCCCTCTGCTGCCTGCACACCACTTCGGCTGATGATGGCCATAAAGCAAGTTGCCATCTCTGTGCCGCTGTACACAGCGGCCATCAGACAGTCACGGTGCTTTACCCCTTCATCTTTCAGGTACATACTTCACTCATGAAGCCAAGGGAGCCGATGACGCAGCAGACGCAGACACAGCTATAATCAATGCAGAAGGAGGACAGAACAACTCCGAAGAAAAGAAAGAGTACTTCATCTAGAGCAGCCTTTTTGTTTCCATGAGGTGTCCAACTGGCCCTATTTAGATGATAAAGAGACAGTGATATTGGAACTTGCGAGAAATTTGTGTGTTTTTTTATGAATGGGTGGAAAGGTGTGAGACTGGGAAGGCTTGGGATTTGCTGTGTATAAACAATATGTTCTTTGAAAAGTACACTCTGCTGTTTGACACCTCTTTTTTGGTTTTTTTTAGTTTTTTTTTTTTTAGCTTTTTGTAAAATTTTATTTCTTCCTACCAAGTCAAACTTGGCTCCTTGGGCTTAGTTTCAGTAGATGCCAGAAAATTCTGTGCCTTGTTTTTTGTTTGTTGTTTGTGTTCCTTATATTTGCCCTTTGTGTGCATTTATTTTTCCAAAAATATTTCTGGAATGGTTGTGTTTCTTTTTCTTGCTTTTTTTTTTTTTTTTCAAAATCTCCCATTTTGGAATTTACCTGCTGGGATTCCTTAGGATCTTTTTTCTCCCCTATTTTTTAAATGATTATTATTGTTTTGACTTCATTTTGTTTATTTTCTGCAGTAACTGCTTTCCGTTCAACAATTCAGTTTCCTAAAAGGAGAACCAGCACAGTTTAGATTTCATAGTTGAGAATTTAGTGTATCCATAATGCATTCTTCTCTGTTGTCGTAAAGATTTGGGTGAACAAACAATGAAAACTCTTTGCTGCTGCCCATGTTGCAAATACGTAGAGCAGTGAAGACTAGAAAATTAGACTGTGATTCAGAAAATGTTCTGTTTGCCATGGAACTACATTACTGTACAGGGTTATCTGTAAGTGAGGTGTGTCACAATGAGATCGAATCTGTCTTTAATTCTGTGTCTGTAGACGGCTCAGCCTAGAAACCCCACGCTGTCCAGAAAGATTTAGGGCAGAAAGACTCCTTCGTTTTCAATGCCCTAAACAGACCTGACAGGTGAGGCCTGTTCCTTTATATAAAAGTATCTAAGTGGACAAATTTGAGTTGCCACAGGAGGGGAAGTAGTGAGGGGGGCAAAGATAGTTCTGCTCTGGTTATTTCTGTTCCAAATGATCCCATCCACCTTTCCCAATCGGCCTTACTTCTCACTAATTTGTAGGAAAAAGCAAGTCAGTGTGTCGTGCGAATGACTGAATGGGACTGGGGTGGTTTATTTTTTATTTTATTTTATTTTTTCCTTTGTGCTTAGTTAGGGAGGCAGTAGGATGTGGCCTGCATGTACTGTATATTACAGATATTTGTCATGCTGGGATTTCCAACTTGAAACTGTGTGAAACTTTCATTGCTTCCGATTTGGCTTGACAAAGGCGCGGGAGGTACATAAGAAGGGCCGCTATTGTTCTCATGCTGGCCTGCCAGGGATCTCAGTTCTAGAAAGGTCAGAGCAGAGGTGGAGAAACAGCACGGAGGGATTTTTTTCAGTTACTTAATCAAAACTCAAATGTGAGTGTTTTTATCTTTTTACCTTTCATACACTAGCCTTGGCCTCTTTCCTCAGCCTTAAGAACCGTCTGCCAAAACATTTCTGATCCTTGCATGATGGCAGCCATAGCGCATAGCTACTAAAACACGTTCCCTTGGGCACGTCTTAGGTGGGGAGTCTTGGGGGAGGGGAGAGCAGTCCCGTTACCACTTCCACTTTCTTTCTTTTAAAGAGAGGTGGGGATTTTTTTTTCCACTGAAATGTCTAGGAAACCTAGAAGTAGTTCTGAAGGACGAAAACTCAACTCTTACCATATGTGTTGGTAAGGCTCCAGACTCCAGATAACAGACCCTATGGAAAGATGGCATCAAAAAAAAAAAGATAGATCTATATATATATAAATATAAATATATATTATATAACATTTTCAGTGAGTAATTTTTGGATTTTGCAAGGTGCATTTTTACTCTTGTTACATTATGTGGAAAACTTTGATTTATTTAAGGGGAAAAAAGTGTCAACTCTTTGTTATTTGAAAGCGTGTTTATTTTTCTTGTCTTTATTTTAACCTTTGATAGAACCATTGCAATACGGGGGCCTTTTGGGAACGGACTGGCATGTAAAAGAAAAATCCGTTTTCTTGAGCAGCATTCTGTTTACCCCTCTCCTATCCCTAGGCATTTAACTAAGACAAAAGCAAAAAGCCACAACAAGCATCCCTTTTTCAATGGGTTTTCTAATGTGCAGCTCCACTCCAAGCCCTTAGCACCCATCCTGACCATAACATAAGCCTTTAACAGGGTGAGAACCATATAGCATGTTGTTGAAAAAGATTTTTTTAACTGTTCTTTTTTAGAAAAAAAAAACAAAGCGAAACAACAACAAAGACCATTACTCACAAAATTTGGCATCTGGTTTTTGGGACCTCCCAAGTTTCTGTTTTTGAAAAGTGTACAGTAGTGCAGTGTTCCTGATGTAACTTTATGGCTTACAATGTTGACATGTCTCAGGTTCATGTGTTTTGATTGGTGTTTTCCGTCTCAGGTAGATTGCAAAGTGTAGGCCCCCCACATTGGAAAAAAAAATAAAAAAACCAAGCAAAAACAGGAAATTATGGATTTTAGTTGTATATTGGCTTATGTATTTTTCTTAAGTATACAGTGCACTGTTTGAAATGTATTGTTGAGTATTACTTTGTACAGGTTGATCACTTTTTTTAGAGTGAAGAAAGAACAAACTTGGTTTTTTTGTGTGTTTTTTAAAGGAATATAAAATAATGAAGGATGTATAATTGATGCCAAATAAGCTTGTTCTTTAGTCACACCGGCGTCTTATTTTTCCCTTTAGGCCAGTTCTGTTTTTAAGGTGTACATGGACAATGTTACAGTGTAAGAAACTCCATATCCATATGTTCTCATTCACATTTTGTATTGGTTCATGTATACCATTTTTACAAAAAAAAAAGAAAAAAAAAGAAGTACTATAAAATATCTGTCTTCTTAATAAAAAAAATTAATGTTACAAAGTGATCCTTTATCTCTTTATGGACTTCTTATGGATACCTCGGCGTGAGAGACGAGATGGGCTTATGGTCCCGGCTTCCTCCTTAGGACCCCGTGGAGGGCTCTGGCTGTGGGAACTGGGAAGTGCTGCCAGTCAGGGGGTCTGGGCACTGCGTTCTCTTTCCTCTGCTCACCCTGATTGTCCCTGTTCTTTTCTCCCTTCTCAGCAGACAGGTGACCCAGTTGCCTTGGCCGAGTCAGGGCTCCTTCCCGTGGACTCCCCACTCTGTGCAGGTGCGTGAGCTGCGGTGGCAGGCCACCAGGACTGGCCTCTCCTGTGGATGTGTCTCCTGCCCTCACCCCCCCTTTTTCACTCACCACCCACCAACTTCCTTGTGTTGGCTGCTCCACCTGTCTCTTACTTTGGGATTTCGTGTCTTAATGGCTCATTCTCCCTTCTTCCTTCCAAGTTCTCTTTTCCTTCGGGAGCATGGAGTGCAGGCTTGGCTGCCTGCAGAGCGATGGTCTTGCTTCCTGTTCCCTAGGTGGTGCTGAGGCTGCTGGACCTGGCGGGCAGCAGGTCTGGGTCTGTTGTCACTGTCCTTGCCTTGCAGGCTGCAGTGGACATGACTACACTGAACAGTGATGGATCTTAGAGATCCCAGGGTAGCGTCCAACCAGCCCCCAAGCACCCTTTCCCCGACTCTTTGCCCTGCTGTGGTTGAGTCCCCCACCCTACTTCCTCTCTCTGTCAGGTAATGGGGAATGCTCAGCCAGAAAAACAAAGGTAAGCTCTGTCAAAAAAAAAAAAATATATCAAAAGCTATGTATTTCATTTTGTCCTTTTTTACCATGGGCTATCTCTCTACAAAAAGATGAGTTCAACTCATTAGACACATGGTGCCTGAGCACCTGCTGTCTGTCCAGCATTGTCAGGGTAGCAGAGCAGTGCCAATGGCTGGCTATCTGAGGGCTGACTGGGACATCAGTTCCACTACATGGAACGGAGAATGAGCCTCGGCCACAGGTACGTTAAAGAGAGGACAGTGGGAATTAGGTTAGTGAAGACTGCTGAGTCAAACGGTGTCACAGAGGAGCTGGGACTGCCAGCTGGATCTTCATGGGTGCTTTAGTGGAGAAGGTAGTGTGGGTCATGGGTATAGAGGGCAACAAGCCCAGCCAGGCTGCTGACGTGCAGGGGAAGAATATTAAAAGCAGTCATGTGTGTAAGGTGCGGTGAGTCTTGTGGCTGTCCTCAAAGTCTGCGCAGAGACATAGAAATTCCAGGAGCCTCTCCCAACTTGAGCCAGAGCTTGGGGAGTATTAGTGGTGCACTGACTCCTCAGACCTTCACTAAAAGACCCACAGAGGCTCCAGGTTAAGAGCACAGGGCAGAGCCAGACTCCTGGGCTTCCATCCCTACCCTACCTGTTTAAATGAATCCACCTTCTTCAGCCTCAATCTCCTGGTTTGTACATTGGTGATCACCAGAACCTTCCAGGCAAGCAAGAGAGATCTCAGTCAGTACCAGACCAGGTAAGCAAAGTAAGCCAGTTAGGCATAGTCCACTTAGATGCCAATAATGCTTATGAGAACAGACATGTGCCCGTGGCTACCAGGTCGTGCTTACTGCATGAAGGGGGCTCTTCAGGCTTCTGAGCCTGTGGACACAGCATGGCCCCACAAATCCTGCATTCGAATACTTAGTGGTCCTTCCTCTCCCTTCATTATATGGCCACAGTAAGTCATATGGCTCACAGCCTGTTTGCAGTTCCCATTCCTCTCCTCTCTGTAGCATGAGGCTCTCAATGCAGCTGAAAGTTATAGAAATGAGACCCTTCCAATCCCCACCAAAAAATAAAGACCACTCAACTGGGACAGACCTGAGGGAGCTGCTTTCCATGCTTGGTCATCTGAGCCCCTAAGGACATGCAAATGAGAAAACCCCAGAAGTAGCCCCCTGGATAATAGCTTGGTAAGTTCCCAGGAGCCTGCCTTAAGTACCAGAATGGCAGTGGTCCTATTTCCTCCATAGACTTTTCACCAAAGTTTGGGGTCAGTTAGATTCTGCAAACACATCAGTTGGACCCCCAAGGTGACATGTGGGTGTTAATTGGCATCATCTTTTACTGCACTGTCTACTTGAAGTGTGCTGCTTGTACCACTGCAGAGTCGCTCCTTAGAGAAACGTTCCTTTGATTCTGCCATCTGGAACCTGGAAGCAGCGGCACACTCTTGGTGCCACAGGTGGAAATACGGGCCTTCCAGGGAGGCATTTTCTTTTTAATTATAAAACTGTTTCTCAGACTAATGTGCTTTATTGCCAAGATGCCAAGAGTCCTGGGTCCTAAGGCCGCTTCAGAGTGGAATGTACAGTCACAGCCACATATGTAGGATGGGAATATTTGCATCCTGCCATGCTGGTATGGCCTGCCACTCTGAGGGAGGAAGAAAAGGCTCTTGGCTGTCATGCCCACGACCTTCTGGGCCAATATTGTGAAAACCAGTGGTTGGCAGAGAGTAGCTACTCAGCAAATACGGTGTGCTAAAGGGAAAGGAGCCAAGTCCCTTGGGCTACATTAGCCTCCCTTGGTAATTATTCTTCATGAAGTATCAATTCTGCATGTCAAAATGATCCACTGAAACTGCAGGATTCGGGACACCCATATCCCTTCATGGTGGGCAAAGGGCCTTGGATACATGAATAATGAGACTCTCTCAACAACCCCCCAGACCAAGATCTGAAAGCAAGAATCTGTTTGAACAGTCCTCCAGTCCTCAGCATCCAGGCTGTTGGGTACCCAAGAAATTGTTGGTGTTTGTTTTGATGGCTTATTCTCAAGTGGGTCTAAACTGTCTACTGCCCCTAGTGGTCAGTGTCAGCTCCAGCCTTACCCATTTAAAGGTGAAAAAATTCCGAGGAGAAACCTGACTTCAAGTCTGCTGCTTTTCCTCTCGCGCATGGATGCACGCCCGCCTCCCCTTTTCCTCCTTCCTAATTGTTTGAAGCCTTAAGCTGGAGAAAGTGGGGACTCCTACCGCGGGGGTAAATCAGGATTTCTTCAGCTTCCCTCCAAACGTGCCCTGGCTCAGTCATATTTCAGACGTGACCACCTTAAATCTTCCTGAAGTGCTGTCTTCCCAGGTTAATTAATCACCAGGCTTAAACTTGCTGTTACCAGCAGGAAGTCCAACCTGAAGTCAGCAATGTTACGATTGCATCTTCTAATACTGTTTATCCCGCATTAGTGTTTACTTAGGGGGAAAATTGATCCGTAATTGATATTTCAGTCTTCCAGAGCTGGTGTTGGAAGAGCCTAATACAAGCCTTTAATAGCAAGCAAATATTTAAATCCCTTAATGGCTGCTGAATATTGAAATGTGTGACTTTATTACTCTTTTTGGTTTGTTTTCTCTGTAGTTGTGTGTTTCATCGTTTAAATTTACAACAGATGCTGGCAGGCTCGAGTCTAGCTAATCCACAAAAGCTATTTGCCCAGACCCAGCAGACCTGATTAGAAAGTATTACTGTGGAAGGGAGTCTTCTGCACTAATCAGTCTCCGTTAGCTAGTGACGAAATTACTATCCATCTCTCTCTCTCTCTTTCTCTCCCTCTCTCTAGGCCTGTTTTCTCTAACCTCCTCTCCCAGAATAAAGTGATGGGGGCAGCGGTAGTGTTGCAATTAGGAGCAGGACTCCTTTACCGTTTGGACAAGGAAGGGAAAATGCCATTACTGTCACCTGAAATGGCCTCCCTGGGTCTTTGCTCCTACCTCCCTGCCAAAGCCCATTGCCGCTGCTGAACATGGCTAACATTCACAACTGTTCTTGATGGCTTGATTCTTAACGTGGCCAGAGATGTAGCCCAGGAGATGCGTAAGAGACAGTTTATGAAAAATAATAGATTTCCTTGCAGAGACACCAAGGCGTTGAAAAGGGCCTTGAGTCACGTAGACCCAGCCAGGATCACCAGTTTACTTCCTTTCTGGCTTCGATTTACAAAGGCAATTGCTTAAAAAAAAAAAAATGCAGGCCCTCTCGAATTCTCTGTGTTTTCCCGGTTGGTTTCTATCAGCACCCACAAGTCTCCGGCTATGACGACCTTTGTCTCACCACTCACCCGCAGCAGCCTTAAGATCTGAAAAGAAGCAGTGCCTACAGAGGTGGAAAGAAGAGGACGCCACTGAGTGGAGAAGAACTCCCGGGGAAGCCAGGCCAGGAGAGCTGAGTCCAGGTCCTGCAGCCTGGTTGCTCCAGAGACAGCTGGCTGGTCAGGCCGCCACCACTACCATCCCAGCACGAGGGTGGTGGGGTTCCCTCTTCCCTGTGTGGTAGCCCCAGAGGGTCAGCGCAACAAGTGATGGAGTTAGTTCCACTAGCTTCAGCTACCTAGCATTGTCAGCAGGCCCTGCTTCTCAGACCCACCCAGCCCCTTTCTTAGTTGGAAAGCTCTGGCAATGACCCTGCCTTTGGGAGATCAAGAGGCGGTGACTCCTTGGTCACAAATGTTCTGAAGGCTGCAGGAATGAAACGATAAACAGGTGTACCTCACAGTTAAAGCTTTCATGCAGTTTCAGCAAATGCTAGTCGAAAACCTCTTGTGTTTCTGCCCTACTGGGACTCCAGCTGGTCACAAGGGAATGGAAAGGGAGAGGACACGGCTGGTGGGATGGCTGGAACTCTCGCTCTTCCTCCAGTTGCAGCCGCCAACGCCCCCCAGCCGAGTGCCACCACTCCCCCACTGTTTTCACTCTCAGCTTCTCCTAAATGGAAACCATTAATCATACTAAATTGTGCAATGATTCCGTGATAGGGAGAATGCTGATGGCAAAAATCATTCTCCTTTGTTGTGCCAGGCAGGCAAAAGGCAGAAGTATTAGCTCGTTGCCCTGCCTGGCTCCTTGCAAATGCTGACCATGTGTTTGCCCACGCAGCTGCCTCTGTGCACACAGCTTATTTTAGCAGCGATGTAAGGCGTCCCAACTGTTGACAGAAGAAGATGCCCTCAGCCACCTCTTCCTTATTCCAAGGCCCGTGGGGGAGACAGGTGACTGTTGGGCACCTCTCGAAGGCTCCCCAGCCCTGAGGCCCCCAGCTCACAGAGTGAGACTCAGGCTGTGAACCCAAGGTAATCTCAGATGGGGTGTGCTGGTTAGGAAGGCTGTGCCCCACATCCTTCTGCCAGCTGGGTTCCTGGCGAAGCCAGGTGTGGTTACCAAGGAAGCTTTCTTTGCCTTTCAGAATTTGATGTCTGCTTCGCTTTCGACAAGCCTCTTTGTAAGCCACCCCTTCTGAATTAGAATCATTTTCCACAAGCTCTTAAGCTATGATTAATGCCAGGGCTGTTTTTAACAATCATCCTGCCAGTCTTAAGCTGTAGTCATTTTCAATAATTTGGAGTGCTCAGAGGCAAGCCAGGAGTTTGTTGACAACAAAACCCGTAAGAGCACAGCCAGGCAGCCACAAAAGATGGGAAAGCAAAGGGGCCATTTGGGCTTAGCCGGCTTTCTGCTCCCAGAGCTTCACCACTAAAAGTTTGATTGAACGCTCACAATGCAGCAAGGATCCAACTGTGAACATGACTCGGGGAGAGGGCTGCCAGCCTGGCTTTTTGTGTGAACAAATGAGCAGCATGTTTGGAGGGCTTCTGGTTTATTTATGGGCACGTGTGGCTCGCTCACGCCGTCCCCCAACCGGAGCTCCGTCGTTTGTCTTCCCTTTGCCAACACACAAGATCAAGAAAGAAATGCCGTCGCTTTGCTCTGGGGCTGTTTACTTCCTGTGAGTGCTGAGCAAGTCTCTCACTGGGCCCTGGGAACCCTGCCTCGTGAAGGACTCTGGCCATTTCCCCAGTCATGTGTATTAAACTAGCGCTCTCCTTTTAATCTTGGCAATTTCATGCTAGAGTATCCATCTGCTGGAGAAGCCAAAATGGAAGGAGACTGGCTCAAAATGCCCGTGATCACAGATTGACTCAGACTCAGCTTCAGATAGCACGTCTTCCTAGCTCATTACTTTCTCCTGTAGGAAGGGGTCAGCTCTGGGTGATGGGAGTTTAGCCCAATGAAGGTGGAGCGATTGAGAGATGTGCTCATCTCAATTCACCCCTGCCACCACACTAGCTATTGGGTAGAGTATGTTGCCAGCTGAGAGATGACCCACACCTGGTTATAGCTAGAAACTCTCAATGGCTAACTTACACTAAACTCCCTTTCACCAGGAATCACCCACAGGAGCCCCAGGGCAGGGCTCACCATGGCCTCAGAGGCGTCACTCCTGTTCCCACACTGTCTGAGGACTCTGGGGCGGGATGAACTACATTCATTCTAAGGATGATCTACAAGGAAATCATTACCCACTGCACATCCCACTTCCTGACAGTTCGTTGGTTTCCCCGACAACGTTCCTGGTCCCCACTGGAACATCATCCCACTTAGCTTGGCAGCTACTTTAGGACCATGAGGCTTTCTCCTCCCTCCTTCATTAGCAGCAAATGGGAATTCTGGCTGCTTACCAATTCCTGCTCACTGTCCCTAAAGGCTGTCTCAGCCCTGCCACCTGCCAGCCCCGGATCTTCTACATCTCTAACTAAAGGAATACGTCTTGCCTGGGTCCCCACTGTGAGTCCTAAAGCAAGTTCCTCCCTTGCTAGAAAGTTCGTCTTGATTGACGTTGGACTTCAAGTTAAATACGAATGCCGACAAGCTGCTATTGGCTTACCTTGGCCTTCCTTTCAGCCTCACCCTGATCCATGTCCCCCACGCCTGCCCGCTTACTTCCCAAGACTGTCCACACCTCTGTGCCTTGGAATATTCAGGGGCGCTCCTCCTCCCAGAAGGCTGATTTGGGGCATTTCCCTGCGCTTTCGCACGCCCTCACACTTACCTCAATTTGTGTCTTTATCACATATCTGAACTGTTTGTTTGCCTTTCTGTCTGCCTCAATAAAACGGTGAATTTCTTGGGAGTAGAGACAGTGTCTCATGCTGTTCTGTATCTCTGAAGCTACAAGTGTGACTGTCTGGCCCTGAGGTCAATAAATGATTGAATTACAAGAGCCTTTTCCCATCTGTGGTTGGGTTGGTCTGTGGGTGTCCAACTCTTTCCTTCAAATGGCCTGGCAATGTCTACTCTTTTTGTCTTTCTGACCAATGAGGATACAGTTTCTCCAGCTCCCTCAGTCTGCACTGTTACGATTTTGTTTTTCCTTGGTTTTGATTTCTTGCTGTCGTGGTCAACCTCGCTCTTCCCCACCTCTCCTTTTTCCTGTCTGTCTAGGCTGTCAGATCCCTTAAGGTCAATACAGACCTGTAAGCATTTCAGGGGCCTGTCAACATATTTAAGACCAGGAAAGAAATAGAGGAAGCAAAAACAAAACCAAACCTCCCCCCCCCCAAAACCAGAAGCTGCAAAATACAGAGAAGAAAACTGTCAAGTCAAGCTGATTATGCAACATCTGCCAAAACCATAACACTGTCAACCCAAACTTAACTAGCACACGGTTGGCCATCAACTAACTGTACTGACTTGTAACGTATTTGCTTATGGGACATAGGCTCTGCCAGCAGAGGTTCTCAGTTAAGTGAGGTTTCAAATAGCAGTGCCTCTGTCCTTCTCCTTTCCTCTTTCATCTCTCTGTCTCTCTCTCTCTCTCTGTCTCTCTCTCTCTCTCTGGCTGTCACTCCCTCTTGTTCTTCCTTTCACTCTCATTCTCTTCTGCACTTCCCTGACTTTTGCCCCCTAACCCTGAGCGCAGAGAGCAGGTTCTGGAGGAATCCAGCCCGGGACGACCATGCCTGCCAGGTGGGCTGACAGAAACCATGTTAAGAGGTATCGACCTCTCCCGGAAGCCTGACACTTGGCAGGAATCTGACAGAGGCTCCTGATGGCAAGCTCAGCTGCCCCAGGTGTGCAGCGAACACTTTAAAGTCTCATTAGCCACGCAGTCTCTCCCAAGCTCGGCCTCAGCAGTCTGTAGCGATATCTGACCCGCATGCCCTGGTCTGCAGATTGTCAGGGCGGACACCTGGGCTTCGCAGTGGGCGGGGGTGGGGCGGGGGTTCTGGGTCCTGATGCTGTTTTCTGGCTCTAAGGTTTTGTTTTGGTGTGTGGGAGGAGGGTAGGCTGACTGTGATGAGCCCGACTCCAGGAGCCTGTATTCATGAGCAGTGTTTCCAGCTGTGCCTCTGATTCAGCCAGTGACCTTGGGCAAATCGCTTCCTCCCTGGGCCCAGCTCTCCAGCTATAAAGAGTCTCAATCCCAAATTGTCTCCAGTTATTTGTTTGTAAAGTATTTTTGACATCTCCGATCCAAGGTACAGTACAAAGAAAAAATAAAGAAACCCTGCTGTTTTGATGGTGCATTTAAAGCCCTCCTCCCAACCCCCCGCTACAGTGAAGGTGTGCTTCTGAGTTGAACACGAAAAAGCTGTAATAATTGACAGGTAATTCCACTGTTACTTTACGGAGTCCTCCATCCTGGGATCACCACCGTTTTTACCCTTTCGCTTTAAAATAAATAAATAAATAAAGGCTCTTTTGTGAAGACTGGCTCTCATTTAGTAAATAATTCTGACTCGTGTAATTACTTCTGTGACTTTTCATAACAACCCAAGTCTGCGGAAAGCGCTTCGCCCCCACCCAGCACTGTCCTCATTCTCGGGTGCTCCCTAAAGTAATTGTGCAATTAGGAAGAAGTGGCTGGAGCATGGCGCTGCTCTATATTTTAAGTTGGGCGTCTGGCTTTGACTCTTGGCTCGCTGGAGTGGGTGAGCCAGCCCGTTATTAAAAAAACAATTATGCTGTTAAAAAATCAGGAGCTCCACAAGTGAAGAGCATCGATTGGTGAGAGCTGGTCAGTTATCACCAGAAGGTCCTGACAACACACTAATAGGTTTTTCTGAAGATCCAATCAAATTTTCTAGGCAGAGGCTTGAGGTGTTCCACATGGGATAATGCTTGTCCTGGGCGGTATTGATTTCAGTGTGTGGCTTCTCCTCGCGCCCCTCTTGCTGCTTCGCACCCTGCG